ATTTATTTATATTTTAACTACCCTGTATTATATAATTAAATCGTTTATTTCGAGAGATCCATTATACTTTACTTTATTGCCACTGCTGACTACGTAAATACGCATTGACATAAAAGATCGAAATGCGTTGCATATAACAATCCATTTTGTAATAGCGCACGTCATACTTAATATAAATAATAAGTTCATCCGGAAACAGAACGAGCGCGAGCGGTTGAATCATCCAAACGGTAGTGATCAGTCAGTTTAACGAACGGGAAACATTATTCAGGCGCTAGTAATAGGCCTTGCTGGAATATTGCGATATTAATGTACATAGCAATGTCTGTGCCCTGCCACCATTCGATCCGCACCGAGCGTTATCTTCGATTGTTCGATTAGCCGTCGTTTTATTTGATTATCTGACGTTGCGTTGCGCGACTATACACAGAACTCGCACGATAATCCGTCTATCCCTGTATTTTATGTGTAATAACAGGAACGGTTGGCTAAATAACAGGATAACGCGATTAAACGTGCTAATTGCAGACGAGTAATCGCAACGTTTCGCGCTTCCAACAGGCAGGTCAATGAATACGTGATAACTCGAATCCAGCATGGCATTTATTGCCTTTAAATGGAAAGAAATGTTCGAGAGACGTGTAAATTATAGATAATCTCTCTAATGTTCTTATCAAAAGAATGCGGAGTTTTGTGCAAGATCTATTCATTTACGTATGCGTAATTCAGTACTCATGTGAAATAAGTCCTTTTATAAGAAGGAAAGTTATGAGGAATTGTTGTTCGCATCCCAATATCGATCCTAATTTTCTCTTTAACTTGTCATCATAGATTGTTTGTACTCCTAAGTATTTAACGACAGGTAAACGTAAAATGACCCGGAAGGTAGAATGGGAGCGTGGCAGAATGAATTACCGGCGAACAGATCGAATCTGGTCCTGCTCCTCTCGCTGTCCTCGTAGCCCTCAAGGTCGTCCTCATAATCCTCGTAATCCTCGTAATCCTGCAGACGATCCCTCCTCTCTTTGCTGGCGGCGGCGCCCCTCGGCAGCGCGTTGCCCGCAGCCCTTTGACCAGCCTGTCTGACTCTGGTATGGTTATTGTTACTGAAGAGGACCGCTGGCGGCGGCGGCGTCGACAGCTGCGAACCCTGGAGACGCCTCTGAAGGTATCTGGCCAAGATCGCCTGTACCGCGTCTGTCTCGGCGCCCCCTGCAAGACAGAAATCATGTTGCTCTCGTAATCAGGCCAATACTCCCCTTCTGTTCCATCTCATTCTCCCGCCATCTCGTATAATATATATATATATATTTCTTATAACATCCTTCATTCCATTTTCCTCGCAACATCTCTCTGTTTTGTTGTCCTTGCCCCACAGCCTTCCACCCATGCCCGTTTCAATTCCGCAAGCGTTCAAACGTGGAACGCGCGTCCAAACTTCCTCGGCTGCATTCGTATGCATGAAATTTTTTGTAGGACTTGCTAAGTGCTCTTAAAAGGTCCGCCGCCCCTCTATTTTATCCGCGTTTCTTCCTTCCTTCGCCGATGCTGACTTCGTGCAATTCGTACCCGGGGAAATATCGTCATTTGTGGAACGCTTTTTTCCATTCCCGGTCGTGAAGTGCTTTATTGTCTCTCGCTTCGCCGCATCTTTACGCTTCCTCTCTGATCCTTGTATAACGACGTCAAGCCGAATTGTTTCGCATTGCGACGAGACCGTCGCGCATGAGGGCTCCAGCCAGATGAAACGCAGGAACAAATAAAATCTGTTGAACTTTATTCACAACGCTTTCTTAGATCTGTCAAACTTTTCTTATAATTGTATCTTATCTTCGTACTTATGTGTTTTCATGTCACAATTCGTGTATTCTGATTTGATTATTTGTTGCGTCAAATACTTCTCGTGTGCAAACTGGAAACAATAATACTCCATCTTTCTCTAGTAGAGCAGAAACGAGCAGAAGCTTCCGAGTGCTTCGAGGGTAAAGAGCTTGCAGCTTACATAGGCAGCCGCCATTTCGTTGTTAAAGTAAAAGGATGTTGTTAAGCGAAGCATGAAAGCTCTCCAGAAGGTTCACAAATTGTACGTGTGTAAATGTAGAACGATATTGGAAAACAATGCAGAATCTCATGAAATTGCTTGCAGCATTTGTAATTTCTATTTTTTACTTTTCTCGATAATGTTTCCAGTATTTATTTAATGAAATGCACTAACAGGTTTATAATTGTAAAATGATTAATTGTAATTAATTAACTTAAATTATGTCCAGTCATATAATCACATTTTTCGTGCTTTAATACGATATTAAATCTGAATTTCGCACGTGTTAAATTTAGGAACGCGTATCTCGACCGGCGACGGTGCATAAAATCGTTGAAAAGTAGATTTATTTATAAAGGATCCCGCGGTATGAACGTCACACTGTTTCATGACTTACGAGCCGCTCCTCATCGTGTACAAAACCGGGGGTAGAGGTCTGGAACACGTACACTGCTCGGTTAAAAGCGGTCGCGGTTATGCCGAGTGTGTAACTACATTTGCTCGTAACCGGGCAAACGATATTCAACGGAGCCACTCGAGCTGCCAGGACACTCTATCAGAGATAACCTACTGGTGCTGGGCATGCGTTTGACGTTCTACAGGGTCCTTGAATCGTCAACGTCACGTATTACGCGGCACAGCGTGCGGGGATCAAAGGATGGACACTCGATACACCTGCTCGCCCAGTCGTCGAAAGGAAATGATGAAAAAAGTAGCACTCGATCATCCTGTATTCGTTCAGTGAGTAAGGACTAAGCAGGTCTCGTCGGTGATACACACTGACTGCTTTCAATTTGTCTTTCATTTATTGCTGGCTTCAATTGAATGCATTGGAAGTTGGAACACTTCGAATTTGCAACAATTTATAAATGAAAAATTAGTCGATACAATTTTGTGACGCGATTTATTACTTATATGAATAAATCTCTAATAATGAATTATTTAAAATTTTTGATGTAATAAAATGTTATTTTTCGTTTGGAAGTTTTAGTTGATTCAACATATTATCAAAGATTTCAAGTTATGGATGCCATATATTATGTATTCAACTTTTATCCAGAGACATTGTTATTTGTTCTCGATGTACGAGCCTCGGAAGTCATTCGCGGAGCGTAGAATACCAGGGAAGCACGAGCGAACGGAAACGCAGGGAATAATTCCGAAGAAAAAAGGTGAAAAATGGAAATTAAAATTAAAAGGCTTTTGTTCTTGAATATAAAAGTTCGCATGTGTGCATGTATTTTAAACTGGAATATTTTATAATTAATTAACTGTAGGGTGTATTATACAAGATTGAGGATCATTCTGAAAAGCTATTGCAAATGGATGTGAAAGTACGCTTAAAATATCACGTATTCTATTAAAAATTATTCCTTTAACCCTTTCGCTACGGACACCGACTATAGTCGGCGGCCGCGCGACGTGCTGTGTGTACGGGTGCCGACTATAATCGGCGTCCGAATATCTTTCGTAAGGCACAAAACTATAATAAAAAACAAGGATTATAATATAAAGTATCTAAAAAAAAAAATAATAAAAAAAAATATAAAGTGATCCCGCGGAACGGACTGCCGTAGCGAAAGGGTTATTACAATAAAATGTGAAGCATTCAAGGACGATTAATTTCATATTGAACCTGATCGGCAATTTAGTAGAACAGTTTTTAATTCGTTATTCATTACGATTATTGAATGAAATTCTTTAGATGATTGTAATTACTAATACTTATCATTGTTGCATAAATTACATTATAAGAAAGTTAAAAAGAAGTAAAATTATTTCACAGACTGGATATACGAGGCCAGTCAATCAATGTAAATTGTGATTAATAAATAAATAGAAAAAGATCCTTGCACTTTTTTTATTTTATATGATCCTTCACTACATTACCAATCCTGTGGGTGGACACTTGAAATCGGGTCATACAAAACACGTTATTTCGACCGAAACATTTGCAAGTCAGTGTAACACTCGCAAAATTGACACTGAAAATCCGCTAACCTACGATTCTCGCACAAAATTCATCTCAATAGACAGACCTCCCATTTAGTAAAAAAAAAAAGCTAAAATTGTTCGTGCAAGGAAACTGAGAAATTAATAAATGTAACGTCGTTAACCTGTCCTCAAGATGGACAAATTCGCCTGAAATCGTCGGTCCATCGTCGGTTACGTCACTTAAGTTGCATCCTCAGTTACTATGCAAATGTCAAGTGTAAAAATACTGGTGGATTCTGTACTGCCTTTTATCTGCGTCTGTCTGCTCGCCGTGCTCAGCTGGAAACTTTTTCTCGTCTTGTCGAGCATTCTCAGGCTGTTATCAATCCACGCGCCGACGCAGCATCTCGAGGAATCAGTGTCGGATCATCCGAACGCAAGGAACGTATCGCGGCGCAAGAGGGATCAATTTTTGGCCGCGCTCGCTGCCAGGAACGAGTGTAATTACGTCGGTTCTGTCCCGTAAGCCCGTTTGTACGCGCGTGGCTACCTAATCGAATTTAATCGATTGTATTGCCCTGATTGCGCTCCCCTCTATCTCCGCGTTACCCTTTCCCTGTACCCGTTACTTCCGCGATTGCGGTCAAGAATAATTAAATCATGGGCAATTAGTCAGCTCAGTTCAATTCCTAGTTTACAACTACTACCTTTCATTTTCTTTTAAAGTATGGTTACGAGTTTCTCGTACTTATCAAATATTTCAAACTTATCCCGGACGATATTGCAATTTTTAATACACAACTTGTTTTTCTCGAATTCATTATACTTTTTTTATTAATTAATCGATCGACCGTTTCTGAAAAGATCTGTTTTTAGCCTCAGGCGTCCCAAACCGAATTCTGTGGATTCTATTGTCAAGCACTTAATCGAAGAAACCCTTCTGGAAATCGAATTTTGTTTAATGAATTTCGCAAGCAGTTTCGAACACTTGAGGAGAATTCCCGATGATTACGTAGCGGTAGAAATGATCGAGAATACCGAACGCGGTATGGATAGCCGCCCGAGCGAAAACGCGAACGATGTCAATAAACGAAATGAGAACTCCCCATTTGTGTTCGTCGAAGATCAAGACTCGTCGTTGAATCACGAACAGACGTCGGTGAACGAAGTAACGAGTTCGATGATCGAAGTGAAGCTCGAAGAAATCCGTGCGCTATCGAAGCTCCCAGATGGAACAGAAAGAGCTGCGATGAAAGACAGTGGCACGGGCGAGGAAGACAGAGCGTGTAGCGGAAACGGGTCCGACGGTGAAAATCAGAGAGCGGACATTGAAAACCAAATGCCTTATTCGAGTATGCATGCGGCGAGCTTGGAAATCGCTACTGGCGGGGAGCCTCATTTGGCGAATTCGGAGAAGAAGTTCGAGGAAGGTCCAGAGACAACTGCGACTCGTTACTTAGCGGAAAAGTTCCTGATCTCGATCCTTGAGGAGAGTCTTGCGTTCAGGACGAATTCGAAGGAACTCCTCAGCGGGAGGACAATCGACCAGGAAAAAGAAGACGAGCGGAGTCCTCCGAAGGTATCTGATAAGTTGGAGGAATCTTTTATCCTTGGCTAGCCAGAAATTCTTGTTTGCCAACTGGTCCCTTAGATGTGAACACTCAGTATTATTATGTCAACCGAATCCCAATTTTCACTGATAGGTAAGAGGAACGCCGTTTACTCCTCGCTGTCCCAAAATTCTTGTTTGCCAACTTGTTTCTTTAAACGTCCACACTCTTTATTATTAGCTACGTCGAGACCTCGACTTCTACAATACATTTTTGGCTTTTTATCAAAATAGCTTTCGAGTTTTCAAATCACTTTTCTAAATGTTACCAAGTTCTTCGCTGTCCTAACTTTTAAATAAGTAAAAATGTATGGAAAAATAGTGGAACAGAATGATACTAATATTTTAGTATTGATACAAAGTTTAAATATGTATGTGATTTTATTTATAAATTAAAGAATACATGTATTAAAATTCATACATCATATCAAAATTAATGTACGGCCATAACTTATTGCATAATGTTTGCGCGATGAGTTCGAACTCGCATACGAGTTCTTTGCAAAGTTTTGTGAAAGGTTAACTTGCCCGATGACGGATAACAGTAATGAAATATGTTCGGCGAAGGAGGGCGATTATCCCGTCGACGAGCAGTTTGGAGTGGACCCAGAAAAAGAAGCAAATCGCACGGAAGGGGAATCCGTAATGCATTCGAGCAAGGATGCGACGCAATCTCCAGCCGCGGAGTCAGAAGGGGTGGAAGAGGTTGGACCGGCTCCAGAAACGAGTTCGCTGAAGAATGGTCGCGGGACTGAATCTACGATTTCCTTGGCCCGGCCGTAAGTCAATTAGTAACGGCGATACTCGATTAATCTCGGCCATTAACTCGGGTACATTGATACACTCGCAAGAAAGCCAGCCTGTTTGAAATTTAAATTCTAACTTCGTCCTTTCACTGATACCATTTCACGCTAGCAGCGTGGACGAAAATTTACATAATAAATTCAGTTCGTAGAATTTTTGAATTGAAGCAACACGTTAAAGTAAAAAATTAAAAACTGATGAAATCACTATTGACATTATAATACTTTAACACGTTGAGTGTTACTTAATTGTTTTAATAATATTCAGTAAAATTATTTTTGATAATAACTAATATTTAGGTACTTTCTTTCATGATCTCCAAATTATCAAAAATTTATTAATAAAAGAATATAATATTTTTAATTATACACTGTCAATCACCAATGACTGATTTGGCACTTAACGTGTTGAAGCTATCTGGTACAAAATTACGTTGTATGCATTCTTTAACGCTTTCTAATTCGTTGTGTTCAATTTGTAAATTGGCTGGTTTCTTAAAAGGGAAACGCGAATCTGGGAAACGTCGCCAAGACGTTTGTCATTAAATTTCTAGGAGCACTACGCACTCGCTCATGTCATTGCACTATTACGATTCTTCCCCAATCGTGAAAGTATGTTTGCGATTGTTAACAGAGCAGCTACTCGGGCTAAGGAGGAGGAGGACCTGAACGCAATTATACGAAGCATGATAATCACAGAACTGCGTAGGCACCGGAAGAAGGAGCAGAGGGTGCTTAAACGGGCTCATTCGGACACGGAAAGCGTACTGCCTAAGAAGAGGCACGACGAGAATAGGTACATGTTCGTTTGTCGTGGATCTGTTTTCTTGGATAAACAGACCGAACTGTTTCAGAATAGGTCTATTCAGCGTCAAAGGCCGAACGTTTTTCCGCGATCTCTTGGAACTAGAAGAAAGTCTGCGTAAAGGGATAGGGAACGTGTCCGAGAAAGAATCCACCGAGACTGGATTGCTCCAGACGATCGTGGACCGCCAAGACGCCGAGGAGGATGAAAAAAGTTCCAGAAACGAGGCTAACGCCGTGCTCGTCGATCGGTCGACCATCCTCTCGATGACGACCGTGCACAAGGCCAACTCGAACATTCTGCTCGAGAGAAAAGTGAACGTGCCTTGCCTGATGGACGTTGAGGAATCGATTGAACCCGTGAAGTACGTTTAATGAATTATTTAAAGGGGGATACGTTCATCCGAAAAACATGCGTTCGAGATATTCTGCGCCATTAAACATCTTTTGTATTCTGAACGTCGATTTATTACTCAGATCCTTAAATTATCTGATAATATGAATTGTAAAATGCAATTTATTTTAATTCGAAAATTTAAATCTTAACAAAAAGATCAGTGCGTCTATCTCTATTTTCAAGAACAGTAGAAATTACATGGTAAATGTATGTAGACGCAAGTTTAATGTAGCCAGTAGTTTATATAGGACGTGGGGAAAACATTCTGGATATATTATTCAGGCAACTTCTGACGCGCCTCTCGACAGCCGGCACGATCTGACAAATTCTCTATGCTTTATGCATTATGCTGTCCGCGGTCTCCTAAAAATTTCATTTCGAGAGAATTCCAAATTTTCCAGTATTCAAAATTACATTTCAGACTTCACGACGAATTAAATATTGAGAGAAAAATACAAAGAAAAAAATAATGTCAATGAGAACTATTAGAGAATTATTAGATAATTTTACAACTAACTTTAAAATTCATCGTTTTCATTATGGATTGGATGAAAAATTCTTAATTACCATAATTCATCAGATTAATAACTAACTCAAACCTTCAGAACGACGGTCCACGAGTCTCGAATGGACAAATGTACGCAAACGGAGCACGTCTACGTGATCCGTTCAGTGAGGAGCTGCCCTTTGCGCAAGAGACGACTTCCGGCGCAATATCAGATGCACAAAATAGCCGCGATTCGTGACGCGGTGTACTCGAAAACGGTTTACGCTAATCTGGATTACTCGCGATTTATTTTCCGCAAAGCTTCGGACAATCTCATTTACGAGAAGGGCAAGGCCAGTCGCAGTCCCAGTTACGTACCGGCGCCCGAAAGATATCGGTGGAAGTACCTGACGCCTACCAAAGTCAAATGAATTAACCGATACAGAATTTAATGGAACAGCGCCAGTAAATGTACATACACAGAATTTGCATACTAGTGTTCGATATTAATG